GGAAGAATCTGACGGAAGAGTTATCTTATCTTGTCACACTGAATTATCCCTATCATACAGATGTACAAATCTGTACAGCTGTGTCAGACGTCAGACGTCACAGCCACGGTGCAGTCAGACGTTATAGTCAGACGTTATAGTCAGACGTCACAGGCAGACTACAGCTAGGGTACGTATATTTTAGACGTCACAATAAGACGTCACGTGTAAGACGTCCCAATAAGACAGTCAGACTACAGCTAGGGTACGTATATTTTAGACGTCACAGCCAGATCTCAGACGTCATAGGCAGGCTACAATTACCCACGTGTCGAGACATAAGCCACCCATACAACTAGTTACATTGGATTAAAAAATATCCCACTCTATGTGCACCGTGTAAAGTGCACATGCACTGTTCTTTTGTCTGTTGGTTATTTACATCTACAAGTTCCCAACTAATGAAAAATGGCAACACACACTGCCTATGGGAGGGGGTGAGTAAAAGGGTGGGTGGGGTGGCTGAATGAAAGAGGTGGGTGGGGTGGCTGAAGGAAGGCGTGGGTGGGTGGTGGTTTGATTGAGATGAAGATATTTGCCTGAAATAAGGGAGGGGGACAGGGTAAAAGGGGTGGGTGGGGTGTCGGGGGGGGGGGGGGGTAATTGAGATGACGATATTTGACTGAAACTCGGTGTTGACCTATGTTCAGACTTCACTCGCACGATGAAAACAGCCAACAACTGAAACCCACAATGATTTCAGAAACCATCAGAACACCAAAAATCTATAGGCTTACACCCGAGTTGTTTTTTTTAAGCATAACATACAACTAAAGAAAAAACTATATTTTCTATGACAAGGACAGTGTAGTCTATATTATAAGCTTGCTATAGACGGCTGTCAAAGTCGTGATTTCTGTAATCTGTAATCTGTCATGTTTATTTTTAAAAAAAAAAGCCGTCATCATAGGCTAAGTCGTGATTCGATTCTTTAAAATGTGTATTCCCTTTTTCCTATTTTTATTTACGATGTAAGAAATAGATCTCGATATAGTTAACAAAAAATAAATAAACATCGATATAATGTAACTAATACACATTTTAACGTGTCATTGAAGAAAACAATTTAGATGTTCAAACTTCAATAGATGAAATCTTTATTGACAAAGACGACTAAGCCCTCAGAAGCCCTGAGACGTAAAGATTGGCGTTGTTCCATACACAAATTTACCCGTAAAGGTGATCTCCCTTTCCTGATCTGCTTGACTCGAAATCATGGCCTCGTTGTGAATAATCAATACGTCACTTCCGTAATGACACGCGCGACGTCAAAGATGGCTGAACATCCAAACTTCTTTATCCACCCCTCCCCCGTGTTTCATCGTGTTGTCAGCAGAGTGGAGTAAGGAGGGGAGGGAGAGGAGGGAGGAGGGGAGGGGGAGGGAGGAAGGAGGTGGTTCAGGTAACAGGTGAACCGATTACGTCCGTAATGTCAGTCTCGCTGGTAAAGGAAAATTATTTTTGTCTGTTGTGTTTGATGTCTTGTTTAGATGTCACATTGGGTGTCTGGTTTGATGTCACATTCACTGCCATGTATTTGATGTCATATTGCATGCCATATTAAATGTCGCATTGTATGTCATGTATTGGATTTCACGCTGGATGCCATACTACATTTTACATTGGATGCCATATTAAATGTCACATTGGAGGTCGTGTATTGGATATAGGTTGTGACTTTAGATGTCACAGTGGAGGTCAGATTTTGGCTATCCCACTAGCCATGCAGCGCCTTGATTACACTCGGGCAACCCTGGGTCAGATCACTCCACGCATGAAGAATGAGAACAGAGGGCTTTAACGCTAAACCTGTCTGAATTACCTGAGGATGAGTTTCATATCTCTAAGTTTCTGGTTTGTTGCTAAAAGACACAGATCTATACGTTTCTGATTTGTTACGAAATTACCTAAATCTGTGAAATTCTGTGTTTTTACGAAAGGACCCAGATCTGTGAGTTTCGGGTTTGTTACCATAATGACCTAGATCTGGTGCGGATCTTTTTGAACTTACGACAGCCGTTCTTTATAGGCACAATGAAAGTAAATGTTCAGAGGATAATATTTGTAAAAGTAACACACGATAGCATTTGTTTTGTTTATAAAAATCGCATGCATGTACTTATTGAACCAAATATTTGCTCACTTATCCAAGTGTTACCCAAATTATGGGCTCCCCACTCAGCTCCTACTGTCACAAAAGCCAGATTTTAATTGGCTTCACATTGTCGCCCCCCCCCCCCCTCTACCCCACATTAAGCTGTACAAATGCAGGCACACGCTATTCCACATAAAAAATGATTGAGCTTTCAACAAAATAATTACAAAGAGTGACAAAGCCTGCTATTCGTTTTAAACACGAGTTCAATTCTATTATGTCAAATGTTCATCCAAACAAGAAAAAAACAACAACAACAACAAAAATCACAATCTAACAAAACAAACTGTTCGTCATATATCGCAGTTCGTACCCGTCTGCCACCCACCAAACGTGACACACCCACCCTCCAACCGTTACACATAATTACATTAACAGACCAAGAAGCCTCGCTAGACTTGAGACAACATGTTCTCCCATCAACCAAAATCTCGTCCATGTCATGTACATTTCTTACTCCCTCTCAGATTTTTATGTCGCACACAATCTTCTCTTATTTAAAGCACAAGGTCCAGAGCTGTTGGATTCCCCGCAATTTTTTAACTATTTAAAGACGAAATGAAAATCGTTAAAAAAAATGGCTGCACGTATCTAACCCTAATCTCCCCATTAAAACACAATCCGCGCTAATGGCCAAATCACACGAAGCAAGATAAATTAGATATCTTTCATTTTTTTTTAAAATTATAAGAATGACAGCGCTTCGTACTGTCGCATGTTTTGGTTCGCTAAAAATCAGCCCTCAGTTATGTTGTTGCCAGTTTGTCTTCAGTTAAAGTTGTAGCTGGTACCTTACTGCTGGTGTGTGTATTGTGGCGGTATTATGGGTCCTTGCTGTGGTATGTGATGTGTGGCTGTAGCTGGGGCCTTGCTGTGGTATGTGGTGTGTGGTGGTGTGATGTGGCCTTGCTGTGGTATTGTTTTTAATGTGTCTGTGTTTCTGTTTTTAAAAAACTTGTTTGGTTGATGTATGTTTTTGGAAGAGATACCATTTTAAATTTGTGAGTGAGTAATTCAACCGATGAACTTGTGGGGTAAAGAGAGGTGGGGTCCTAATTCATTCGGTTTATCATATTGACTTAAGCGTACAGCAACTCATAATGGATGACACATAATGTGAGTTGGATGTCCACAGTGTTGTGTACTGTCATTATGTCTGTGGCGCGGCCATCGTGCTGTAAAGGGACTTGGCCAGTATGTCATATCGGACTTGGCCACTGTGTCCTATAAAACTTTGGCCACGGTGTATATTAATTTAAGCACACCTTGCTCAAGAATCGCGGTTTTCTCAACAACAGCAACAAATATATTCATTTTTAACTGTCACGTGATGTATTATCTAATTGCAGTATTCTTCTTCTTCTTCTTCTTCGTTCTTAATTTTTAGTGTTGGGAGGGATCGAGCCTTACCTGCCACAGGGTTTTGAACTCAAGACTTTTTTCGAATTTATCAACCATGAGCTTTACCGACTCGACCATGCTTCCATCACAATTAAGGATTACGTGTCAACTGGTTATGCGCCATTGAGGCCATTGACTCCGATTTCAGCCTGCTTTTCATTTTGGATTTGCTTCCATAGCTTTGTCCAACCAAGAACATTGATTTTGGAGTTGTCTCTCTTAGAAGAGTGGCTGTCCCCAGCTAACGAGCCTCATCTGCCCGAGGTTTCGAACTCGAGACTTTTCGGTTTAGCAACCATGAGCTTTACCGACTCGACCACGCCGACCCCATTGCAGTATATAATTTCACACCAGATGCAAATTTAGCCATTAAATAACAGCATATCGCACAGGGCTATTTTGCGTGGGAAATACATTAGCAGAGAACGCTGCTTAATTTATGGCAGGTGGAGTAAGGTAATGCCGCGGTTTTTAGAAAACAATCAACTTATCGAGACATAAATACTACAGCCATTGGTCTGATAACAGGTTATTCATTGTATACACATATACACGTCCTAGGCTAGAGATTTACTTGTTGTATGTTATGGTCGAGTTCAATGTAAGACTGGAAAGGGTAAAAAGATTTTCTGGGAAAATGGTGTATGTTAAAAGCAGTGAGAAGACTGAGGAATTAAGACAAACTGATGGCATAAAGGGGGTGTTGAAATACAAAAGAAAGCGCTGGGTTTTACTAGCAAGTTGATTGAAAAAATTTGGGTTTAAAGACAGAGACCACCTACTTGATGAAGACAGGTCAAGCAGTAAGACAGAGACCACCTACTTGATGAAGACAGTGTGAGGTCATGAGGTCAAGCAGTAAGACAGAGACCACCTACTTGATGAAGACAGGTCAAGCAGTAAGACAGAGACCACCTACTTGATGAAGACAGTGTGAGGTCATGAGGTCAAGCAGTAAGACAGAGACCACCTACTTGATGAAGACAGGTCAGGCAGTAAGACAGAGACCACCTACTTGATGAAGACAGTGTGAGGTCATGAGGTCAAGCAGTAAGACAGAGACCACCTACTTGATGAAGACAGGTCAGGCAGTAAGACAGAGACCACCTACTTGATGAAGACAGTGTGAGGTCATGAGGTCAAGCAGTAAGACAGAGACCACCTACTTGATGAAGACAGGTCAGGCAGTAAGACAGAGACCACCTACTTGATGAAGACAGTGTGAGGTCATGAGGTCAAGCAGTAAGACAGAGACCACCTACTTGATGAAGACAGTTTGAGGTCAAGCAGTAAGACAGAGACCACCTACTTGATGAAGACAGGTCAAGCAGTAAGACAGAGACCACCTACTTGATGAAGACAGTGTGAGGTCATGAGGTCAAGCAGTAAGACAGAGACCACCTACTTGATGAAGACTGTGAGTCCTAGTGTGGGCAGGTCCTGCTTCATGATGTCCCAGGTGTCCTGCACTAGCTGCAGCTGCCGCTGGGTCAGGTACTTGTTCAGGTGCATCACCTCCCCACCATCCGTCAGACACGACACAGGGGCGTTTCCCATTTCAGGTGAATCGTCTCGCTACACGGGAGATATCCTCGCTCAAAGTCTTCTCACACAGAAGATATCAGCACTCACAGAATACGCTGATGTCTTGTGTTGTGAGCAGCTTATAGTCCCAACGAGAGGTTGTTGTGTTGATTTGTTGATTAGATCACGATCAACTCTTACACTCTGTCGTATGGACAACGTATGTCGTTTGTACAGTAGCTAATGTTTGCTTCACGTCATTGCAGAAGGCGTTCATAAAGTCTTTCATATTCATTCTGTTCAGTTTGTACAAATTATAAATTGTATATTTTCTCCAATTTTCATAAAACTGAAGTGGATGTGTTGACTTCTAGATGTACTCTACCTATGTGCTGATAGTCGCTACATGTGCTGCCACCTGATACACAGACTAGTGCATGATACAGTGGTGGCAGTGTTGACACAGAAAACAGACACGTTGAGCACCAGCCAGGTACTAGACTTTCAGGTTCCGAAGCTGCCGGCACCAGCTGTTTACATCGTCTCGACTGTCTTCCTCGGCTAACCGGACACGGCGAGGGTGGGATCGATTTCCCGGTTCAGGGAGTCACAAATAATCAAGACAATCAGCTGTGGAATGAGAAAACAAAATTCCCTTTGTAATTTCCTAACCAAAATAACGGTAATGTTACATAAATCCACTCCCCCCCCCCCCCCTTTTTATCGCGGATATTTCTGGATAACGTGCAAATAACAGACAACCTCTTTTAGCCCGTGACCCGGTCATTACAGTAATAGGGTCGGCGATCCCCCAGGGTCAGCCCAGCGGTCAGTCCTTTGAAATATGGTTAGTTCCAATCTGGCGTTCCTCACTGGAACTCATGGCTGGCAGCAACACACGCGGGCATTCATACAGAGCTCCTTCAGCTAGAGTGGTGTGTCTACACGCGGGCATTCATACAGAGCTCCTTCAGCTAGAGTGGCGTGTCTACACGCGGGCATTCATACAGAGCTCCTTCAGCTAGAGTGGTGTGTCTACACGCGGGCATTCATACAGAGCTCCTTCAGCTAGAGTGGTGTGTCTACACGCGGGCATTCATACAGAGCTCCTTCAGCTAGAGTGGTGTGTCTACACGCGGGCATTCATACAGAGCTCCTTCAGCTAGAGTGGTGTGTCTACACGCGGGCATTCATACAGAGCTCCTTCAGCTAGAGTGGTGTGTCTACACGCGGGCATTCATACAGAGCTCCTTCAGCTAGAGTGGTGTGTCTACACGCGGGCATTCATACAGAGCTCCTTCAGCTAGAGTGGTGTGTCTACACGCGGGCATTCATACAGAGCTCCTACAGCTAGAGTGGTGTGTCTACACGCGGGCATTCATACAGAGCTCCTTCAGCTAGAGTGGTGTGTCTGCACGCGGGCATTCATACAGAGCTCCTTCAGCTAGAGTGGTGTGTCTACACGCGGGCATTCATACAGAGCTCCTTCAGCTAGAGTGGTGTGTTTACACGCGGGCATTCATACAGAGCTCCTTCAGCTAGAGTGGTGTGTCTACACGCGGGCATTCATACAGAGCTCCTTCAGCTAGAGTGGTGTGTCTGCACGCGCGGACATTCACACAGAGCTAGTAGTGTGTCTACAAGCGGGCATTAATACAGAGCTCCTTCAACTAGAGTGGTGTGTCTGCACGCGGGCATTCATACAGAGCTAGTAGTGTGTCTACAAGCGGGCATTAATACAGAGCTCCTTCAACTAGAGTGGTGTGTCTGCACGCGGGCATTCATACAGAGCTCCTTCAGCTAGAGTGGTGTGTCTGCACGCGGACATTCATACAGAGCTCCTTCAGCTAGAGTGGTGTGTCTACACGCGGGCATTCATACAGAGCTCCTTCAACTAGAGTGGTGTGTCTGTACACGCTCATTCATACAGAGCTCCTTCATCTAGAGTGGTGTGTCTACACGCGGGCATTCATACAGAGCTCCTTCAGCTAGAGTGGTGTGTCTGCACGCGGACATTCATACAGAGCTCCTTCAGCTAGAGTGGTGTGTCTACACGCGGGCATTCATACAGAGCTCCTTCAGCTAGAGTGGTGTGTCTACACGCGGGCATTCATGCAGAGCTCCTTCAGCTAGAGTGGTGTGTCTGCACGCGGACATTCATACAGAGCTCCTTCAGCTAGAGTGGTGTGTCTACACGCGGGCATTCATACAGAGCTCCTTCAGCTAGAGTGGTGTGTCTGCACGCGGGCATTCATACAGAGCTCCTTCAGCTAGAGTGGTGTGTCTGCACATGGGCATTCATACAGAGCTCCTTCAGCTAGAGTGGCGTGTCTACACGCGGGCATTCATACAGAGCTCCTTCAGCTAGAGTGGTGTGTCTACACGCGGGCATTCATACAGAGCTCCTTCAGCTAGAGTGGTGTGTCTACACGCGGGCATTCATACAGAGCTCCTTCAGCTAGAGTGGTGTGTCTACACGCGGGCATTCATACAGAGCTCCTTCAGCTAGAGTGGTGTGTCTACACGCGGGCATTCATACAGAGCTCCTTCAGCTAGAGTGGTGTGTCTACACGCGGGCATTCATACAGAGCTCCTTCAGCTAGAGTGGTGTGTCTACACGCGGGCATTCATACAGAGCTCCTTCAGCTAGAGTGGTGTGTCTACACGCGGGCATTCATACAGAGCTCCTTCAACTAGAGTGGTGTGTCTGTACACGCTCATTCATACAGAGCTCCTTCATCTAGAGTGGTGTGTCTACACGCGGGCATTCATACAGAGCTCCTTCAACTAGAGTGGTGTGTCTGTACACGCTCATTCATACAGAGCTCCTTCATCTAGAGTGGTGTGTCTACACGCGGGCATTCATACAGAGCTCCTTCAGCTAGAGTGGTGTGTCTGCACGCGGACATTCATACAGAGCTCCTTCAGCTAGAGTGGTGTGTCTACACGCGGGCATTCATACAGAGCTCCTTCAGCTAGAGTGGTGTGTCTACACGCGGGCATTCATACAGAGCTCCTTCAGCTAGAGTGGTGTGTCTGCACGCGGACATTCATACAGAGCTCCTTCAGCTAGAGTGGTGTGTCTACACGCGGGCATTCATACAGAGCTCCTTCAGCTAGAGTGGTGTGTCTGCACGCGGGCATTCATACAGAGCTCCTTCAGCTAGAGTGGTGTGTCTGCACGCGGGCATTCATACAGAGCTCCTTCAGCTAGAGTGGTGTGTCTGCACGCGGACATTCATACAGAGCTCCTTCAGCTAGAGGGGTGTGTCTGCACGCGGACATTCATACAGAGCTCCTTCAGCTAGAGTGGTGTGTCTACAAGCGGGCATTCATACAGAGCTCCTTTAGCTAGAGTGGTGTGTCTGCACGCGGGCATTCATACGGAACTCACCCAGCAGAAGCATTGTGTCTGGTGTACACTGCACACTCAGATACTAGAGAATACAAGTGGAAACCTCGTGTAGACTACCCAAGTTACAATCACAGACAGGTGGTTGGCCACTAAAGAGTGTCATGTCACAATTACCGCAGCAGGTCAGAGGGGGGAAAACTGTTTGATACACTGTTTATGACGTACCACACCTCCAAAACTTACATAACAAAAATTACATACATCAGTCAACTATTTAATTCGTGCTAAACAACTTACATCCATGTATCCGCTAGAGTAATACAGACACTTATATTGTCCAGTAAAGTAATTAACATGAACATGTATAATGCCGTTAAACTAATTAACATAGACAGCCATGTACCCATTAAACCAATTAACATGTATTAATATTCAGCTATCTATCAATTAGCATAGAAACTGGTGTATTAATTACTTTAATTACCAGCCAGAATAAAAAAAAAACTCTGAACGTAAAGCCGAGCTCTCTATCTAGAGCATTGACGCTGTAGGAATCGCCTTAACACGATAAGGCGACATTTTTATTGAGCTAATTAACTGGCTCGTCTACCCGACCTAGCAGCTGGGAATGGAAGTTACAACAGTTGTAAGGTAGTGTAGTGTAGGTGTTGTAGTACTGTGGTCTACGTCAGTGTTGTCTATGTGCTGTATTTCTGTGATCTACGTCAGTGTTGTCTAGGTGCTGTAGTTCTGTGATCTACGTCAGTGTAGTCTAGGTGCTGTAGTTCTGTGGTCTACGTCAGTGTTGTCTAGGTGCTGTAGTTCTGTGATCTACGTCAGTGTTGTCTTGGTGCTGTAGTTCTGTGATCTACGTCAGTGTTGTCTAGGTGCTGTAGTTCTGTGATCTACGTCAGTGTTGTCTAGGTGCTGTAGTTCTGTGATCTACGTCAGTGTTGTCTAGGTGCTGTAGTTCTGTGGTCTACGTCAGTGTAGTCTAGGTGCTGTAGTTCTGTGGTCTACGTCAGTGTTGTCTATGTGCTGTAGTTCTGTGGTCTACGTCAGTGTTGTCTAGGTGCTGTAGTTCTGTGGTCTACGTCAGTGTTGTCTAGGTGCTGTAGTTCTGTGGTCTACGTCAGTGTTGTCTAGGTGCTGTAGTTCTGTGGTCTACGTCAGTGTTGTCTAGGTGCTGTAGTTCTGTAGTCTACGTCAGTGTTGTCTAGGTGCTGTAGTTCTATGATCTACGTTAGTGTTATGCACTGCACCTATGAAAACGTAGTTCTTAAATATACTTTCTCGCAGCTTGTACCGAGGATTATATATTTTTTTTTCTTGCCAACTCGCACATTCATGTTATGCAAAACGAATATCTAGGTCAATTACTTTATCTTTCGTACTGATTTACTTTTCTACAACATTATCTACCTTATTACATAATCTACCCTACTACGTCATCTACCCTACTATGTCATCTACCCTACTACGTCATCTACCCTACTACATCATCTACTCTACTACGTCATTTACCCTACTACATCATCTACCCTACTACGTCATCTACCCTACTACATCATATACCCTACTACATCATCTACCCTACTACGTCATCTACCCTACTACATCATCTACCCTACTACGTCATCTACCCTACTACATCATCTACCCTACTACGTCATCTACCCTACTACATCATCTACCCTACTACATCATCTACCCTACTACATCATCTACCCTACTACGTCATCTACCCTACTACATCATCTACCCTACTACGTCATCTACCCTACTACATCATCTACCCTACTACGTCATCTACCCTACTACATCATCTACCCTACTACATCATCTACCCTACTACGTCATCTACCCTACTATGTCATCTACCCTACTACATCATCTACCCTACTACATCACCTACCCTACTACGTCATCTTTCCTACATCGTCATTTTCCCCACTATGTCATCTACCCGTCTACGTCACGTATCATTGAGTTTCACCAAGTATGTCAACAGTTGTAAACAGTTGTTAACAGTTTATTCCTGGATTGTTGTAGTGGTTGTAACCCACGAGCTTCTTCCACCCTCCCACCCCCTCCCAGTCTGAATATCTGATGAGATCTTGAATCTAACACGAGCAATGACGTCATTTGGTGGTGAGTTACCAACAGCGCGTGATAAAAAAAATCATCCAATAAACTTTACGCCCATTGTGTTGGTGAAATTATTTTCCTAGAGTAAATAAATATCGGGTTGATAGAGTTTTAAAATAAAGTCAAA